CAGGGATGGGATTTCATTTTCCGTACACAGCAGGGCCTTTTTGCAGCTTCTCAGTCCACAACCACTGTACAACAGAGTATCCCTAAGTTTCCAGTACAGAAACTGGTAGAGAAACTTCTGCCACAGCCACCGGGGATAAAAATTGTCTGGGTTTTTGTAGTGCTTCACCTCGCAGCTCCTGCTGCTTTCCAAAGCATTCAGTTATAATGAGGGCCTCAGAAATAGAAAGTGGTGTGTCCCGGCTCACCCGGCACCTCGGTGGCAGCAGGGGCAGAAGCTGGCGGACCCCTGGTGCTGTCAGCTAAACCGAGTCGCTCTGCCTGCTGCAGTGTTTCCACAATAGAGAAAAACATCCAAAAAAGCAGAGAAGGGAGAAAAGCGCTCCCACCTTTTCACAGGGAGCAAAATCTATTAAAGCAGGAGTGGGTTAAACTCTGTTTTGCTTTAAATGGGAATTTATGCCAGACATTCATCTAAAGTGTTGCACGGGCATCTGCTGTGAAGAGCAGGAATTTTTTAGCTGGCCACCTACAGATACTGTAAGCACTTTTCCCCTTTGCAGGCAACGAGAACATTGCAGCGGGGTTTTAAGACATCTTGGGAGCTATTTGCAGCACAGGTCTCCTTTGGACTAAGGCAGAATAATTTCACCTGGAGTCCGGATGCACAAATCTGTCACTCAGACAACACAAGAAAAAAATTTTGTCTTCTAAGCCATTTCAGCTTCTCACTATTTATAGCATCACTGTAACATATTCAAATGTAAAGCAACAGTTCTACTTGACATGTGTTCCTTTGTCTAAATAACGACTCAGTAATACCATGTAGCTGTTTGAAACTACTTTTATTAAAATCACATGTGTATGGCTTTTGACTGGCAGTTGTAAGATTATCACTGAAGTTAAATGTACACCTTGCAAAGATGTACAAATGCCATTATTTATTTGCTTTACAGCATTCTTAAAAATTTCAAACGGTTTTAGCATAGCAACCGAGTTATGCCCTTGTAGACGACTCTCTGCAAATTGGTAATTCTACCGAAGGGTTAATGCTTTGGTACTGACCAGAAGAAATTAAAAGTCCTTCTTTACTGTCTTGACAATTCAGAAGCAATGACTTGGTATGTGGAAGCTGGATGTACATAATGCAGAGGACTATGGAGAATGCCCCTAAGAAACCATATGAATATAGGAATTTATACCTAAGGAGTAACAAAGTATCCAACAACAGCGTAATGGCGGGGTGAAACAATGCAAAGTATATGTTCAATATTGGATTTTTTTTTTTCTTCAGGACTTTTAGCATCAACAAGGGTGAGTGGATGCCTGAGAATGACTGGAAACTGCTGGCAAGTGAGGTTATTGCCCCAGCATGAAGTATTTTAAATAAATACTCACAGACAGCCACTTGGTGCTTTATGGTGAATACTGGAAATGGGAACACGTATAGGTGCACTGACCTACCTTACACCTTCTACTTCAGGCCACAGGCAAGGGAGAACAGCTTCTTCTCCTACCAGTCCCCTCTGCCTTACGTAGGAACAGGTTGGGGCTGTTCTCACCATTCTTGCCTACACCTCCAGATAGCTGAATTTAAAATGTGAATATTGAAATAGCACGTTCTAAAATATCTGCTTATCCTGGCCTCACTGCGTTGATAATTCGAAGACAGACTTAAACACACAGATAGATAAATAACCACTACATGTAAACAAGAATCAAGAATTGCTCTGTTAATTCCTGCATGTAAAAGGCACTAAAATTTTCCAGACTGTCAAGAATATTCTATTTTCTGAAAGTAATAAGGTATTCAGGATATGTCTGAATGTCACTAAATATGACAAACATTTTTGGATTGTTCACATTATCAACCACGCTGTCATACAGGTCAGTAGGATCTGCTGGGTTTTTTGGAGGTGGAGTGATTAGTTCACTGCTCCCAGCACAGTACTGCCCCGTGAGGACCCGCACCAAGTACATGTATTTTCTGCCGTTCGTATCCGGTCTGGAATAAGTATCTTGAGCAGAATAACATGCATCAACAGCAAAGTAGGTTCCCTTTCCAATGGATGCAGCTGTTTGGAAAGACAATGTTTTCAAATATAGTTAGTGTTCTTATTCCCCTAAGAATCTCTATAGCTCCCATCTATTTTTTCGCTCTCCAGAAGTTATAAATTTGGTTAGAGTTTAAGCAGCAAATTCTAGTAATAATCCTTTGTATCAGAATCAAATATGAATCCGTATGTCAGATATGTATCAACACCCAGGTTTTGACTGCTCTTTCCTATGGGGAAAAGGGTTCCTCTCTCTGTTTAGCCTTGTTGCTTAGCCTGCAGTTCATCAAATTACAAATCTTCAGAGCCTTCAATTGTAATTACAGGAGCCTTTTCAACTTGAAATGACTATATAATTGTAATTACAGTTTTCTAGTTACACTTCACACAAGTTAGAGGAATCATGTTTCTTTGTCTGAGACAGATTTCTTTTTTCTGACATTGGTAGAAAAGCTGTTCAGGCCAGACAGGTCCTTCCTATCCAGCTGCTCTGATCTTTGGATGTTTTTGCACGGCTACTCAGCCTGACAGAAGGGAAGCGTGCCTTTCCTATTGTAAATGGTGGCTGAGATGGTGAGGTAGATGTCAATACGCACAGGCAGACAGAGGACACAGGGATCTAGGGCTCTTGCTTCCTGAGTAAATCCAACCTCCTCACACTACCAAAGAGCAAGAAAGCGAAACTACATCTCCTCTGGTCATGTTGTAGAAATGGTGGCTGCCATTTCTATCTGTGCAGAGCCTGATATATTTTTCGTTATGTTGGGCTTCCATTTTCTCAAGAAAATATCAGCATAAGTACCTCTAGATGATCTAGAGAGAGAAATGTCTACTTTTGGATCCAGATCACACTGAAGTGTCAACTAGATCCGAGTTAAGCTGTCTGGCTGTCTCAAGATCAAGTCAGCCCTAGGCATTTACAATTGTGTCTTAAGGAAGAAAACATTATGAACAGAAAGTAAGAACTTTGAAGTAAGGTTGCAGGACTTCTAAGAGTGACTGGCACCTCAGTTCAGCCCAAGTTCCACTTCTTTGGATCCTGTCCTTCATCTTTGAATGCTACCAAATAATAAACATAACATGACTGTACTAGAGGAACTGGCCAAAACAATCTTTGAACTAATGCAGAAAGTCTCTCTGCTAAATATTTAATAGTTGTCCGTAACAACTATTAAAGGGGGAGAATTAATGAATTTCAACTGATTTCATGTGCATAAAAATAGTAGGGGAGTGGTATCTTCTGTTTGCTTGTGCTGTCCTTATCTTTGGAGGCAACAGAAGTATCTGCACCTCTACTTTGCCAACTGCCTTTGTCTAAGAGAGGAAACACGGGCAGCTAGTGGTTGGTATCTCAGCTGAGGATGCTGAACAGCAGTCATTGTTACTTTCTGTAGATGGACCATACAAACCATCTCAAAAGCTGCCCAGGCTTGACTGCAGAGTAAGCAAGCTTTTTCTGATATTCTCTAGAGGGTGGCATTCATCAACAAGGGATTAACTGAACAGGTTAATTCCTCTGTCCATATAGATGATGCTCTGGAGTTGTTAACTATTTTGTTCTCCAACTTTTTTCAGTCTTCATGTTGTGCTGTCAGCACAACATCATCAACATTACCTAGCACCTCATATATATCTAGGAAATTAACTGCTTTGGATAATGACTCACCATTCTTTCCAGCAAACCCACGATTAAATCCATTGTAGTTGATCTGGCTCAATGAGGATGCAGCTGTCCCATGAAATAACAACTTCTCATTATTTTGACCTTTGTTCTTTGTACAGAGAGAGGTTTTTTTTATTTGGTATGTCTGCCAGAGGAAGGAATTTTGTATTCTTTCAATCTGCAAAGTTACAAAATAGAACTATATTTGTACTGGTAGGAACAAATATTTATCATGGCAGGAAAGCATTAAAACCAAACCAAACTGAAAGAATGGCAGTAATTTTCACTATGCCCTGTTAGCATGTGGGTTGGGTTGGGGAACTGAATATGTGAGCCTCCTGAAAAGTCAGAAATTAAAGTAGCTTACAAGAGGTTTTCAAGCTCTTGAAATTTTTGGCACGCACTTGTCTCACCTAGTATACCAGGTACATGGGCAATCATGGTAGCTGTGCATTGCCATTTTTAGAAATAGGCTGTTGTACCACTGCTAGGGGCAATGATGTAAGATGCCTTCTGTACATCCTAATCATCTTTACTGATGATTTTCTTGCTAAAGGGTAGACTGCAGCGATAGCATTATGTTAAGTTTCTCTTCTAGATCTCAGCTTGGAAGTCAAAATTACTTCTTTTACTGTGTAGTTTAGAAACCCATAAGAAACTGCTATATAAAAATAAATTGGTGAGAGGATAGATGTTGCTGGCTCCCTATGCCAGCAGTGCAAATATAGCTCAGAGGGAAACTGCGTATCTGCATCAAAGTATAATCTTAAAAGGCATTGCTGTAACAGCTTTCCATTTTCAATGGAAAAAGACTTCATCTCATTACCTGATTTTTTTCTATTTACACTAATATTTTGTTCTATTTGTGTCTTTGTGACCATGCTCATTGAATCGCAGGATGGGAGAAAGTTTTTCAAACACATATTCTCACTCTTAATTTCATCATATTTTCTCCCATTTATCGCTCCTCCTGATTCTGAATAATTCCATCTTCTCCCTGGCAATTAAATCTCAGTGCACTGAGTTACAGACTTTTCAACAAGCAGGATCAAATCTTGACACTTTGTGTAAAACCAAGTCTAGCCTGAAAGGCTCTGAGACTGGCAGGGAAGAAGTAGTAAAACAGGAAAAACCTTTATGGCCAATTGGCAAGGACTTCCTAGTTGCAAATACCATGTTAACTAGTGAGTATCACATCAGTTGAACACAGAGTCAGCCCGAAGACTGATGGTCACTGGTTTTGCATCATTAGAAGGCAGAAATGGCAGGGCAACTCTTGGGAAATTGGATTTGATTTATATCCACCCTGTACAATGCTGGGAGGACTGACATATGAAAGGTGTATTAGGTTGCAAACACCTTACAAACAAATATTTCGAAAGTATATGAATGTTTTCAGTACAAGAATTCATCTTTTTTTTCCCCTTGTGGGATTTTACCTTCTCTATGACAAAGCTGGAACAGGTTTTCTTAAATTTGTTCTGAACTTCCAGGTATTCCAGACATGATGCATTGAGATTCACCAGTTTGACCTGTTCATCTTGCATGTCTTCCCAATGTGCAGGGAGTGCTATTGACTGCTTATCTGCAAAACAGAGATTGCATTATTATCACAGATACCTAGCTCAGCTTTGTGGGTGCGTCTCATAAACTGACTGCATGTAGGGTTGAGAGGACAGTACTTTACACAATACTTCATTCCAAAAAATATTCTCTCTCTTCAATACATCTATCCTGGTTTTGACTGTGACAGAGTTAGTTTTTCTTTTTAGCAGCTAGAAGAGCTCTGTGTTTTGGTTTTAGTCTGGGATTCTTTATGAGAAGGAATGTTGACAGTGCACTGATGTTTATAGTTGGCACTGAGGTCTCAAGGTCTTTTCAGCTTCCCATGTTTTGCCAGTGTGCAGGAGCACAACAGGCTAGGGGGGAGCATGGCTGGAACAAAGCGTCCATAACTCCCCTTATGATTTGTGCTTAGATTTAGGATTGAGGGCTAAATTGGCCAATGGAGTATTCCGTATCATGGAATGTCATGCCCAGTATATAGATGAGAGTTGACCAGAGAGAAGGGCTTTTGCTCTTTCGGGGGCTCTCACTCTCGGAGTGTTATCTCGCTCTTGTTCTCTTTTCAGGCCTCTCGCTCATCCGGGATTGCAGTGTTGGGACTTATCTGTTTTGGGATCGTTTGCTCGGATGGGACAGCCACTGGTCACTAGCTGGTAAGCAATTACACTGTGCATCACTTGTTTGAAAACCACAGAAGAATTTATGCGTTCTTCATATACCACTTCCTTTGTCAGACTGAAGCACAAAACATATGGTCACTAGTCACACACTATGAAAAATATTTGTATTTAAAACAGGTGTTCTGATTTTAGTCATACCTGCCACTAATTACAAAAATAAACCTGTTGGCTATGGCATGCCCAGGGGAAAAAAAACCAAAACACAAAGAAAATAAAAAGGAGAAATTAAAAAAAAAAAAGTTATGAATAGCTCACTACTTTGCAATACCTGAGTTTGCATTTATCAGAATTATCATTCAATAATCACTATTAAGGTTTTTTTTTATTAACAAAGCTGTAATTTACCTTCATTCTTTGGCACACGTTGAATGTTTATAGTTTTTCCTTGGTCATCAGTAGCCTGTAGAGTATTCAGATCCACCTTGTAGTTCTTCTTGTTAATTTTGACAGTCAGATGTGGTTTCTTAGCTATTTTGGCATCCTCCAGCTGCATATTTGTCAGTTTATCAAAAGCAACAAAGCTACCATTGCTTCCTGGATACCTCCATTCTACCAGGTTATAAAAAAGTTCTGCCTTGGACCGTTCTTCTTCAGTATCTTTAAAGCTTTTGATCATTTTTTGGACTTCCACATAGACATAACAGACATCCCTGCTAATACCAGAAATTTTAATGCATGGTGGGGAAAGTTTATTATCAAACTGAATGGTGACAAGCTTTCTTCTCTGGAGATCTGCCAAGGCGTTAATTTCCCTCTCATCAAAATATTCAATTAGCTCATCTGAAATACAGTTTTCAAACTGTTCCTTTAAAATTAAATTCTTTATCCAGGACTCAGTTGCTTCCACGTTTTTTTGGCTTTCTCCACAAATTTGAAATGTGGTTAAATCAACTTTCTTCTCCAAAACCACAGGCTTTTTCTTCTCAGTGGATTGTTTTTTGCCCCAAAACAATGCTGTGAAGAAATACATGTTAATTATTAGTTTTAAATAAAAGATCTTTTAACTTTATATGCCCATGCACACAGAAAACCCACCTACTTACATTTAAGCACAGACATCCATGAATCTCTTGTGGACAAATCCAAATCTTCTCTTTTCTTCATGCTTTCGTAAAAGTCTGTGAGCATATTTGTCTGGAAGATGACGATTTTAATTTTTTTCAAATGCTGTACTGATCTTTTGCTTGCAAATTCCACTATAGCATCCAACATGTCATCAGCTACCTTTGCTGGACTCTTCCCTGCCTGACCTAAACAAAAATAAAAGGCACGTATCAGTGAACAGTATTTAAATCAAGGCAGCATCCAGAAAACCAAGACCATGTCTGCAGCTCCTACAGACTGGTGTCCTTCTATCCTCCTCCATTATGCTTTCTGGCCAAAGCCCCAGGCTTAACCTCAGCTTTATGCCTAGGCCTGTGAGCTCCAGGAGTTGACACCCTACACAGACCCAGGTGTATAGGAACACCTTCTGAGATTCTCCCCCCATTTACTTGGAGGTTACAACAAGCATTTCGGCCTTAGCGCCCCCCTGATATCTTTAAACTCACACATCACTAACTATCACAGAATCACAGAATGTTAGGGATT